ATTCAGTACATCACCTATGGATATTCCGTAGGTTAAAGATCCAAATGTTAAACGGTTATATGAGGTACGGAATATCCGTTGGTAAAGAGTTGTCATCGTTACCAACAAAAAATTCGTTGCTGATTATCGTTGTTGAAAGTGAATAATTCTTACCGACGGATAATCCGTTTCTAATTACCAATGGATTGCATGTGTTGATAAATTTTCGCAGGTAAAAAGCTGTTTTTTAGTAGTGATTCGACACATGTCGAGTAGTCGACCGAAATTGATGAAGATGATTTGTCACTAGGACAATTCATCGCACCACATATTGCTCCAAATCAAAAAAGTATGTTGTATCCACTATCTGGGCAGCCAAACTTTTAGGTACAAAAAGATATCATTCTAGTATATTAGAACGAGTTATCTTTGTATGGAAAATCTCATGAAAATCCACACAATCATGTCTCACGCTTCTTGGACATCTACCTAAACTACAATTTTCATGGTTTGTCCCTCAAATGTCAAAAATGTGTTTTGAATTTTATGTTAAAGTTTTATCCTTGTTTTCAATATTTTTTCTTGACCCATATTGCAATTGTTCAGAAAGAATGTGGTAGAAGTGTATGAAGTGGCATGCATCGGTAACCATACAAATCAAATATCAGTGTAAAGCAATGATATCTATCCTACAGTGGAGTGAAGAAACATTAGTAAGAAGAAGTCTGGCGTTGATATCATCAATAAAAAACTTGTGTGTGAAATAGAAGACAAGTCTTAGTCATAGAGCAAGAGTTAGAAAATAGATGAGTTAATGATAAAAAATAAGCCCAAAATTACTCCTTTAATTCACCTTAGAAAAGAAATTGAAAAATCAAGAGAGCAAATTTTATTTTTATTTTTATTTTTTTTTGTTGGAGTGGGGGGTGGGGGGGATGAAGGATTGTGAGCGGCAGAAATTGTGATACACTGCTATGAATTTGAGGAGTTCAAAACGCAAATGCACGTGATATAATTAGAGCCACTTCCAATGCGAAGCAAACTTTAAACAAATTAATAAAATCTGTCTTGTAATTAAATTCGCTAAAGTAATAGAATGATAACTCCACAAGAAATGAGATATGTACAAGGCCTGTTTGGCTTTGCTCCTAAGATTATTGGTTTAGGTTTGGACTAAAATGTTTTCTCTATATTAGAACTTGAAAAAAGAATAAGTTCGACCTCAACCTTACTCTTACTTTAATAAAAAATGAAGTCAATTCCGTCCAAAGATTAGTTAGAAATTAAACTTTTCTTACGAATCAAAATTAAAAATACATAAAAAGAAAGACAATAAAAAGGAAAATGATCAAAGAAAGATTCATCCCCACCTAACCACCCCAAGCTCTACCCAACTCGACTCGATTTGATCTACTCTCCAAAAATCTGTTGTTGCCGCCTCTCTCCTCTTTTCTAGATGGACATAGATTACAGTTCTTCATCCACGCCTTCTCTATCTTCTTGCACTTGTCTTTTCTTTTTATTTTAGTTTAAGATAAGGGTATAGCAGCTTCATTTTAGTAAAATATTAACATTTTTTTGACATAAACTTATCATACCACCTACTACTTCTCCTCAATCCTTGCATTTATTTATTCATTTATATATTTAAAAAAGAAGTCATTCTGTCCAAAGATTAGTTAAATATTTTTTTTTATTTTTTTACTTGTAATCAAAATAGAAAATATATAAAAAGAAAGAAAAATAAAAAGGAGAAGGATGAAAAAAAATTAATTTATCCGATTTTCCTTTGAAAGACTTCAATTTAACCAGATAATTAATTAAGGTAGAGTCAAATTTTTACGCGCATAAAATTTTGTGAATTGTCATTTAAGTTGTGCACAATGACACTCATGCCTTTTTACTACACCGTTATTTGGGCAAAATTGTCAATATTCACAACCATATATAATTAATTGTCTACATTTATGCTGAAGACTAAAATGTTTAGAAATAATTGTCAACTTTGTCTAAATTATCGAGATAATTCGAAATTCATCCATAAAATGAAAGAATTTGATAACGCTTTTTTAAAAAAGTTATCTTTAAAAGGATTGGCAGAAAAATAAAATAAAAAATAGACATTATTTAGAAAATAAAAAGTAAGAAAAAGTTAGTACTCCATCTATAAGTTAATGGGAAAGTTATAATTTTTCAATTACTATCATTTTGGGTCTTTAACATCTAAAGAAATCATCGATCAATTTAAATGTGTGAATCTTAATTGACTACAAATCATCAATATGGACGTTAAAATTATATGCGATTTTCACGTGATTTAAAGAAGAAGACAAATCATCAAACCACTTAATGTTCTAGCCCAAGTAATACGAAAGTTTCATAGAGATCTAGATTCTCATATTACATAAATTGTAGATCTAGAATCCCGGATATCCAAAATTATGTTACCATAAATGTTAAGGAGCAGACCCTAATTTTTTTTTCTATATTATTTAATTAATTCTTTATTTATGGAGTAAAATGTTTCATTTTTCACTCGACTTATTATTGTCACTCATCTTTGAAACGTTGTATTACATCTATCATTCACCAGATTTCAATATCCTTGTTGTTGACACATCGCACAAAAATCCCACATGGCAAATTATAGTCATTAAAAAAAAATTACAATTCAAACAAACCATCTAAGTAAAATATTTCATTATTCAGATAATTTATACTATGTCCACGATTTATTCATTAAACTTTAAAATGTTTCTCAATGATCACTCATATTTGAGATGATGCCTATATTCATCATCCGTCAAATTTTGTAATCCTTGTTGTTAACTTATCATAAGGAGATTATGTTAAGATTTAGGGTTACATATTAAAAGATCAACCTTGTTAAAAGGAACAGCCCGACACCTTATAAGTTGGTCTATAATTCTATCTTCGACGTGGGATTTTATCCCTTAACATGCCCCGTAAGATAATGGCTCATTTGAACAAATCAATCTTGAAATCTGTATACTCATTTATTGAGTCTTAATCAGATCGAATAACTTGTTAGAGTTTAATAGGCTCTGATACCATGTTAAAACTTGATATTTCATCTTAAAAGGTCAATCTTATTAAAATGAATAGTTCAAGACATTATAAGTTGATCTATATTTTCATCTTTATTCGATGTGATATTTTATCCCTTAACAAATTATACGTGACAAGTTACGGCTATAAAGAAAATCATAACCCAATAAAACCATCCAACTCACTAAAAATGTCATAGGCTACATAAACTTCTTTAAGCCCAATTGTTCGTCTCCAATTTCAGGCCCCGAAAAATCTCAGCCCCCCATTTCACGCATCTCATCCACTTACAAATAAATTATATACTGAGATAGGGTCGATACGAGAGGTTACTATTTATAAAGCCATTTTTCCCAATTGTACCATCTGCCTAGCATCTCTACATTCCCAATCTTCCATTTTTGCATGTGTGGGTCTAACCATTTGAGGAAGAAAGCATTATCGAACTTCGATCAAATTGAGGAGCGAAGAATAATAACCATGAAGAATGACGAACGCGAACATAACCCATACTTGCAAAAACAAAAGATTGGGATCAAAGAGACGTTGGACGATTGGTAAAATTAGGGAAAAGGGGTTTATAAATAGTAGCTTCTATCATGTTTCCCAACAATCGACCCTATTTCAGTATACAATTTAGTTTTATGTGGATGAGATGAGTGAATTGAGGACTATATTTTTTGGGGTTGAAATTGGGGATGAACAACTGGGGCTTAAAGAAGTTTATTGAATCATGGCAGTTGCATTTTATGTAGGGATGTAAACGAGCCGGGCCGAGCTGGCTCGCGAGCCTAAAGTTTTGGCTCAGGCTCGGCCCGGTTAAAATGACCGAGCTTTTTTACGGGCTCGAGCCAGTTGCTCGGCCAAAAAAAATAGGCTCGGCCCGAGCTTTTGATCGAGCTTTTTACGGGCCGAGCCGGGCAGGCTCGTTTTCTCCTTAAATTTTTTTTTTTTTAATACCTGCTGCCTTTTAAAGGCAGCAGTTCACTGCCTTTTAAAAGGCAGCAGGCAGCAAGCTGCTGCCTTATATTAAGGCAGTAGCTGGCTGCCTTGCTGCCTTTTATAAAGGCAGCAAACTGCTGCCTTTTAAAGGCAGCAGTTTTGCCTTAAATTTTTTTTTTTTATTTATTAAAAAACTTGCGAGCTCACGGGCCGGCTCGGGCAAAGCCCGTGTCCCCAACATGGAGCTCGGCCCGAGCTTAGGCTCGGGTCTACCGAGCCTCGAGCCGAGCCGGCTCGGGCTTTTCCCTAGCCGAGCCACGGGCGGCCCGAGCCGACGAGCCCGATTGCCATCCCTAATTTTATGTATGTGCGACTTTGAGAAGTTTGATGAGTAAATCGTCATCGTTGTATAGTTTGGATGAATAATGAAACATTTTATTTGAGTTGTTTGGTTAAGTGATAATTTTTTAACTACTATAACTTGTTCGTGAGATTTTTCTGGTAGATGATTGATAAAATGCAATGTCTCAAAGAAGAAAGGTAGTTTGAAGTTTGACTAATAAAGTATGGATAAATTGGATGAATGATCAAACATTTACTCGGATCTATGAGAAGAGCAGGATAATAATTATTGTGCATATTTTGGTCTCTATTTTTTTCAAAAATTCATTTTATTTAAAATTTATTTTCAATTACACAATCTTCCAAAAAATAATTTTACATGTATAATAAAAAAAATTCTAATTTTTCAGTTACACTTCTCCAACAAAATACTATTTTGAAATGCATTTTGAGCCCTTGTTTGAGTCCCATTTGTTAATAGGAAAAATACATTTTTGAATAGTATAATGATGTGAAATATGTAGTTAAAAAATAAGAAAACTTTTAAAATTTACTTGTAATATTATTTTATTGAAAAATGTGAAATTAAAATAATGTCAAAATACTGTTTAAGAATGTATTTTTTCGTAAGGAACGAGGCTGAATGAAAAATACTATAAGACAGGCAAAGTTTCACAGGGTAGGTACAAAATTTTAAAAAAGCTGAGCTAGAGAGATAAAATGGCAATGTAAAATAAGAAAAGAATAAAAAAAAAGGTCAATAATTAGGGCCAAAAGCCTGGCAACCCACACCATCCCCCCCGGCAAATAATCCCTAGCCACTCCGTCGGCATTAATCATCTTCATTTCATCTCCGGCCAACATCCCGCCGCCGACCGACCCAATAATCTCCGTCCTTTTCCCTACTCTGTAATATCTATGTTTCTTTCGTTCCCACTGTTTTGCCTTAAATTCATTTCAAGTGTGGAGACCAACTCAACCCCTCATCAACCGGCTACTTCAAATTATCGAATCTCACAAACCCACACAATAAAACTCAGATTTCTCAGTTACAACAAAATTAGAAGGGTTAAAAATAGTGATTTTCCAAGTAGGTGACTCTTTGAATTTGACTTGCATTAAATGTATCAAACATGCCTAGATGGAGTAAATTCCCATAGCTGCTTAAGTATTCAACGATTGAATTGCATTTAAGAACTCATTAGGCAAATAAAGATCCCAGAAAAATGAAAATATCCACTTGAAATGAATCCAATTATTAGCCTGAAAGAAACTAGGACCTGGACGTGGAAAATATCCACTTGGAATGAATCCATGAACTGCAACCTCCACTAAGAAGAATTTTGTCGTGGAAATTGGTAATAGTGACTGCTCGTGGACATCCAAAATCTTGTGGCACTGTGAAGTCAGCACCATACTCAGTAAGACTGAAGTTTGATTAGGAAATCATCAAAAGTCAGTAACTCAAATTGTTTTGAGTCGAACTTCATGTGAAAATCGTGACCAGAAACAGAAAGTAAAAGGGATTTGGATTTTAGCTAAGTAAAAAGGATGTCATAATCACACAAGCCGGCGATGGTGACTGCGGCATCCGGTTTTGAATTTGGGTCGGAGATTATGGGCCAAGGATGGAGATTATTGGGTCGGTTGACGATGGGATGTTGGTCGGAGATGAAGTGAAGATGACTGGCGCCTCTCGGTGTGGTTGGGGATTATTTGGCGGCGAGGGCGAATGGCGTGGGTTGCTAGCCTTTTAGCCCCCAATTATTGACCTTTCCGTTTTTATATTATTTTTTTATATTACACTGCCATTTCATCTATCCAGCCCAATTTTTTTTAAAATTCTGTACCTACGTGTGAAATTTTGCCTGTACTTGTAGCATTTTCCAGGCTGAATTTTGATCCAAAATTGGCCGTATTTCTAAAATCTCATGCATTCTGCTTCGATTCCCGTCTATATTTTGGGGACTTTCTACTTGAAAGAGAAAACGGACACTGCTTTCTCTCTCGTCTCTCTCTCTTTGTTATGGCCGCTTGAACTCTGTTTCTCTATAAATCAATCCTACGCACACATAAATTCTGAACTCTGTATCTCTCTAAATTAAACCTATACATAATACATGCGCCTACGTATATACATAAAAATATTCAGTCTCATATAGTACTCTCACGTAATTTATCGTCAATCTTAAGGTGAGTTCTGTATTTTATTTTTTATTTTTTTAATGGGTTGCCTTATTTTAACATTCTTCTTCATTATTTGACGTGTTGATTAGTTTATTTATGCTTGGTTCGAAATTGGAGGTTTAAGCTTAAATCAGGTGGATTTTTTTATGTATATTTATAAATTCACACGCTTGAGTTGAAAAGTTGTGATCTTGTTCTGATGGAATTACTTGGAAAAGTTACCCTTTTTTCTGCCTGTTGATCTTGAATTTCTCATGATTCCGCTTGAAATTAGTGTTCTTTTTTGGTAGCTTTACTTTTACAACTACTCAAGAGCCTGTTTTTTGACATTTTTTTTCTTAAAAAAAAAAAGAAAAAATAATAAATAAATAAAATAAAATAAAAATTTAAGATGGAGAAGAGAGTTATTGTGGGTACTACGTTAAGATCAAATTTATTATTCTTCATGTGAATGTATAGCCAGGATAGTGTACATGGGTAAGCTGTTAAATGACGAACAAGGAGGTGCTTTGCGGAAGACATTCAGTATTGACTTATTTGATTCAGTCGTTGATGCATGGTAGTGGTCTATAAATAGTTCTGTAATACGTATGAAAGTACTCAGACTAAAATGAAGAGATGCACAAGTTAAACAGAAGGATTTTGATTGGATTGAGTTCAGTTCTTTAAAATGCTAAATTGGGTTTCAAAGAATTTTCTCGTGCCTCAATTGAGGAGCGCTAAGCCTCAACATGAACCAATAAACATAATTCTGATTTCAGAAAACTTGGACAAAAAAGGAACAAACTGGCATTGACATTACCGACTATAATTATAAATTGTAAACACTCTAAACACTTCCATGACAAGACATTTAAGCGAAAATAAAGTCTATTTGCAATTTGAAACATGAGAAAGATCCAGGAAGTACCAAATAATAAATTGACAACAATAGTAATTCTACGCTAAGCTGCTAATCGTCAGCCGAAACTTGAAGCCTGAAAATAAATAAAACAACTATCTGATTATTCTCTTCTCTATTCTCCAATCCTTTTCCTTTTAGCTGTTAGGGTCTACTTGTGTTTAGAACAACCAGAAATCCTCCTAAAATGCTTTAAGCCATAAAAAGACTAGCAGGAAATGGTTAGAAAACAACATTGTAGAAGAAACTGAAGAGCACAGATCTCGTCCACCCTTGACAAAGGGCATACAAAGTGTAAGATTTGAGACTCCTAATGAACACCTTGCACAAGACGAGACGTGCACAAGACGTGCTTTTAAAAAGATTGTGTCTTGTAGTGTTTGCATGTCTTTATTTATGCCTTTCCTCTGTCGAATGCATTTATGTGATAGCTCAAATAAGGGATAGGCCTGAAGAGATTTGAATAAGATTTAATCTGGATGATTGCTCAAGCTTGAGCATAAAGAACATCACTTCTTTTCTTCTAAAAAGAGATGCAATGCACCCTTGCCAGCTCTGGTTTTCTTCCTCTTTTTTCATTTATTTCTAAGCATTTCTGTGGCAGGGTGATTTTGAGCAACGTAAACCCCTTATTTCTTCTATGGTGGGTTTTAAAATTTTAAGTGAACTAAATTAGCTCGATAATTCCCTCGCATTGGATGCTCATATCTGCTTGTTTTGCAGTAGAAATTTAGAATGGAGAAAACTGAAGAGTTAAGTAGCCCCAGGTGGAGTGCATCATTTGTGCAAACAACTGAAGATGTAGCCAGCGCTGTTGCTGCAGCAGCGGCTTCAGCTGATGCTTCTCATTCATTGCGACCTTCTGTGGTGTATTCATTAAAAGATGAAAGTGGTAGCCCGCTTCAAAGACTTCAACACCATGTTTCCAGAATATTGAAGGGTCTGTCAAGTCCTCCAGAAGTGAAAAGTGGACCTTACAACCCAGAAATACTAACTAGTCAAAAACGTCAGTGGGCCAACTTTCAGTTGCAGTCCCTGGTATGTCCTCCTCTGTCAAGTCTACAATTTCTTAACCATTTCCTTCTCACTTTTGTCTGCTCTGGTGAACTCTTATAATGCTTATCGATATTTCTTTTAGAAGAAAAAATATACAAAAATGAAGAAATTCTATATGGGATTGTTTTTATCTTAACATTGGTCGAATCAAATATTACTTGTTTCCAAAATAAAAAGCCTGTTAGTTTTCATTAGCAGGCTTCTAATGTAAGATATTTCTTAGAAAATATGTTGATTCCTTATGAGTTCCTATGGTTACCAACTTACCTCTTTACTTTGCTGATTTTATGATTACATTATAGAGGTCGAGTTTTCGCATATAATTATGGTATTGAAGTGTGCAGGATCACAGAGTTTGGAAAGAGCCATCGAAGCTTTTCGAGAGCATGGTAGTTGTGGGACTTCCTCCAACTTCTGATATTAAGGCTCTTCAAAATTTGTACTTTGCTAGAAAGGTTGAAAGTTCAGGGAGAATTCGAAGTGCGCTTGGCAGTCAGTATCAATCTCGTGTAGAACCTAACCTTGAGCCTCAGGTGCTGACTCGTCTATTCTACTGCTATCATGTTTGTAGTGAGACACAAGAATCTTATAATAGTTAAAAAGATGATACACGCAATCTTGTGTTTTGGCTTTTAGGTCTTGTTTGTTTACCCTCCGGATAAACAGCTGCCGCTCAAATACAAGGATCTCCTCTCATTCTGCTTTCCAGCAGGAATAGAGGTGTGGTTAAGAACAATAGTTTCATCCGCCTCATATTCTATATAATTTTCTACATCATTGAGTATAAGGAATAAAATAATTGGGGTTTTCATTTGGTTAAATTGGGGCAGAGGAGTGAGCTATATCGAATAGTTTTGGGGTTTATATTTTTTTGAGGAGTTCTTAAAATTGATTTCTGTGATTACAGGTTAATGCTGTTGAAAGAACTCCATCGATGAGTGAGTTGAATGAAATACTTTTGGGACAGGTATTTACGCAACTGTTTCTGCCTTGTGTTATTTTGCGACAACTGATCTGATACTGATGATAAATATCTGAATTATTAAGTTTGTTGCAGAATTAGAAAATGCATATCGGTAGAGCCATTAGTGTATTTGTGAAGTCTGTGTTTAATATTTTTGTTTAACTTTCTGTTATAAGTGTTGTAATTAGAAGGAAGGCAAGCTGATTGCTTTGAGAATCTCCCTCACTTTTGTTTCCTGTTTCTTGTTCCCATAGGCTTTTTATTCTCTATCTTCAGTTCACAACATCACATTTTTCATCTCTTTTCAGAAAGTTCTGTAAAATATATGGTGATTTATGTTCTCAACCTGTTCAACTAGCAATAAAAGTAAGGCCAGGGCTTTTCATTCCTCCATTTCTCTGTGGGGATGCAGGTCTGGAGATACATTATTGTGTTCTTCTGTGTTTGATGTGTGGAGCCTAATTATACTAACATTTTTCCCCTCCCCTCGACCGTCGTACTACATTTGTGGTAAGGTGAAGTTTTGGGGGGGGGGGGGGGGACGGTGTCATCTTCTTCTTCGATATAGTGATATCCTACAGAAGAGACTTAGCTTTTGCATTGAGAGTGGACCACTCTAAACCTTGTTCTTTACTTGCTTCCCCCCGCAGTTTCGCATTATTAATTGCTCTTGATAGTACTATTAGCTTTTTGTCCTTAATCGGAATGCCTCAATGAGCTTTTCCTGATCTCATTTAAGTTCGTGTTCCCATTCGTACAGGAGCATCTCAAACGGAGTGATCCGTCATTTGTCTTCCGGCTGCAGGTATCAAACCCGTCTTATTGCTTTATGCTTTCCGTAGTTTGTCACAAGCTTCTGTTGCAATGAAAATGCTTCAAGATGACCTTTTCTCATCAGGTTCTGTTTGTATTGAGGCATATTTAGTTTCTGGAGAGGAGTTGGTCTAAGCACTAGTTAAAGCTTGTGTCAGTATTATATATTAGTAGTCATTTCTAAAGAGGTAACTTAATATGAGACATTGTCAATTGGCTAAATCCTACTGTATGGATATTGTTTATCCTGTTACTTTGTACGATAATGACCATTATGCCATATACCGTTGTGCATATCCTTCTCTTAGTTATATGCATATATTTATGCAATTGCTTCATTATCATCATTTTGTAGTCAAAAGAATAGGAAATTGTTGTCTGTATTTCAGAAAACTCGGCGAACCTTTCTGTTTGTGAATGAATCTGTTTAGATTAGTGAGACTGCATTTTACAGTATTATTACCTGATGCTGTCTGTTCAGGTATCTACAATTATATTGCATCCTTAGGCCATTTTTTTTCTTTTGCCACACGTCATATCAGCACATGGTATTACCAAATTCTACGCAAAAACATGATTGAAATAAGTATTCAACTTATACACTTGAGTGAACTAGTTTGATTGCATTATAAAACTATTCATAGTTGAATATAAATCATATACTTTTACTTCAAAAGATGTAAATTGGATTTTTCTAATCAGAAACATGATTTAGTGATTTTATAATAGACGGTAAATACAATGATTAACAGAGTAAGTAATCCTCTAACATGAAGCAAAATAAAATAAAGTCACAATACAATATCTTTATCCAAGCATGGATAATTAAAGAGAAAAGGACTGCCCTTTAACCCTTATCCAATGAATTTCATAAGAATACTAAAAACCTAGCTCTATCCCACAACTCAAAAACTTCTTGATCTCTTCCTTAAAAGATCATATTGCGCCACTCTCCATTTCTCTCTCTAGATCATCAAAAATAGGTGAAACTATTGCTTTCAACATGACTACACCCCTTTACCCTTGCCAAACCCGGTTGAGAAGACCCAATCAAAATAATTTCTGAAGAAACCTGCACCATAGCCATCTTGCGGCATCAGAATATCAAAATAAGTGATCGATTTATTTTAAATCATTTCTACACATCATACATCATGAAGGGAGAGAGAAATAGAACATTCTTTTTAATCTATTCACCAAAAATTAATTTTCTTATGAGACACCGGCCATCGAAACACCTTACGGGATGCAACATTTCCTAATGAACCTAAATGGGGTGAAGATGGGGCAATTTGGTGAATGAAAAGAGTGTGGAATAATGACTTGCAACAAAGAAATCCTTGTTTCCATGCTGAGTGAAACTGTCTTCCAAAAAACCTTCTTTTCATGCTAAGTTAATCACCTCTCTATTTCAATCATCCTGTCCTTGTAATTCTCATGGCAGGCCTGGAAACAATCTGGTGGTGGATGTTTTTTTTTTTTTTTTTTGAGGGTCCAGTTTGGATGCATATTAATGTCTGCAGATTTTCTTGTATTTGAACAGCATTCTTCTACTTCATTGAGTCTACCAAAGTACAAAAGTTAACTCTTATGGAGTTTGTATAGATGATATTCTGTAGTCATGGCAGGAAAGTATCATGTTGTTACTTGATGATTAATAATCTTCATATACTGTTTGTTTCTTTCCTGGGTAATTACCTATACATGCTTCCATTTATTTTAGTGCTGAGACTCTAATTTTTCTCTTTTCTATCCGTAAGTCTTTCTTTTCATTTATTGAGGCACTCTTTAGTGCGTGAAGATGATATTATGCTTACTGAGCTGCAACGGTGGGACTTTATGTTTCTTGTTCTCTCTCTAACTTTTGGCATTCAATTTATTACACTATTTTTTGGTATGCAGGTAGCGGACGATTCAACTTTATATGGCTGCTGTGTTTTAGTCGAAGAAATAATCCAAAATCCTTCAGGATTGATTTGTATGATTTCGGATAGGCAACCTTGCCGACTGAGTCTGAGCCGCCATATTTTAACCACACGTCGTTGCTATTGCATTCTTTCCAGGCTTCCATTTTTTGAATTGCATTTCAGTGTATTGTATAGGTGCGTGAATAATTCTTCAGTTTACGATGCTGCAAATGGGATCACTCCTAGTTTTAAATTACATTCATAATTAAGTGATTAATTTGTTACATGAGCTTGCAATGCAGCGGCCATGCCTGACTCCGAACCAAGAAATGGGAATGCAAGAAAGGAAACAGAAATACGAAAAATGAAAAACAACCAGAGTGCCCGCTGAAAAAAAAAAAAGAGCCGGGGGGGGGGGGGGGGGGGGGGGGGGGGGGGGGGCTCTAATTAGCAGTCTTTGACAGATAATATTCTGTTTCATATAACATGTATGAAGCTGCCTAGGGCACTACACTCTTCTCAATTTCTGTGATGGATACACCATTTTCCATCATTAATTGGTATAGCAGAGACTAGTTTGTGTAGTTGAGAATGTTATATTGCATATTGGTTTCAGCGCCATTTATATAGTGCTTGATTTTTTATTCATGCTCCAACATTGAGGACAATGACAATTCTGAGGTGAATATACCTTTTTCTGTCATGATCTAATTTTCAGGCATTAAGAACATGAGGTTTTTTTGAAAATTTTTGTATGTATTAATGATATAAAGAGTTGGTATGTGGCTGTTGAAATCATGTGCTATTATTTTGTTTGGTTATTTATCCATGTGCTATATAAATTGTAGGTTTAGATTGTCTAACACTAACAGGAAGAAGAATTTGTTCTCTTTTAACTTCTTATTTTGATGTTTTTATTTCACTTTATGCTTCATACTGCAGCATCTTCACTGAAGAGAGGCTGGAACGGTTGACAAAACAGATTGCATATCTAGATTTGGAGACACCTGTAGGCTATGATGTGGTTGAGACCCTAGAAGAAAAATCAGGTGGTATATTACTAGGAGATGGAGCAGTCAACGTATTGAAGGGAACAGTTGAAGCATCCCAATCAAACACGAATTGTTCCATCTCAGGAAGAGTGATGGATAATATGTCTCAAATTGAGGCGGTCCTTGACTCAAAAAAGGAACTTAATGCCACTACTGTTGCAGTTGATCCTGAAACAGAGAAGCTTGCATCTAGGGGAGAGTTGGTTGTTGATACTTCTGTTGTTGACCATTTTATTGAAAACCAATCAGCTGAAAAGCGTTTACCGAATGCGGTTTTACCACTACTACAGTATCAGCAATGTGAAAGCTATGTATCTACCTCCAGGTATTTAATTTCTGTTTTTTGCTACATGGAATTTCATAGAAGATGCCATTCCCTAGCATAACCAAATCTCTTGTTTGGTTCCTATGTCTTTGTGATAACAAATCATACTTAAAGAGTAATCCTGATTATCTAATCTTTTAAAATCAATTATAAAGAACTTTTTACTATCTTCTGCTGTTCTCAAGCATATTTGTTTTTTCCCCCTAATGAACATCTTCAACCCTGCTTATGACTAGAACTGTGTGGAATGGTGCTTGTAAGATTTTCCTTTTGCTCTTCTTCTTTGTGTGGACACTCAGAACACTCATCTACTGAGGGAACCTTTTCTAATCGCAGAATAACTACCTTGTCTTTCCAATGTATTCTGATTTTTTTTCTCAGGAATTTTCCAGGTTGTCGATAACATTTATGAATTCTTGTTGCAGTTTTCAAGGCTCTCCAAGTGAAGAAATACATTTCAAAATTGAAAGTGATGAGGCACATATGGAAGAGACATCGTTTTCAGGCCAAGATATCTCCATTGAACACAGTGATATACTTGAGTGGGCAAAGGTTGTTATCCAGTTGTCCCTTGTGCATTTCATTTATTACAATCTCTCTTCCATATAGTTACTTAGCTCTACTGAAGTCTCTCCTTGCCTGTTAACACACTTCTCCATTTGCAGGCTAACAACCATGGTTCCTTGCAAATTATTTGTGAATACTACGAATTACACTGTCCTGCACGAGGTTCAACGGTCAAGTTCCACCCCCTCGATCACCTGCATCCTATGGAATATCATAGACCTGATGAGACAGTTTTATGCATTGCCGGATCAACAATTGATTTGAGAATATGCAATACGAGTTTGGAATTAGCGGAGGTAGGATGGCTTGGTTTTGTTTTATTTATTTATTTATTTTTTGTTTGTTTTATTTATTTATTTTTTCAAAAAAGCAACTTCCCGCTTATGGATAAAGTGCAAAATAAAAAATAAAAATAAACATAATATTGATATGAAATGGGATAAGTTATCTAGATCTAGCTTAGATAGGCTTTGAGTTGGAACATGGGATTGGTTCTCTTTTCTAGTCTTTTAACTCCTTTTCTTTCTTATTGAGAAACAGGTTTGGTATTAACCGAGAGAAGTGTTTATCATCTTCCTCTCTTCTATTTTCATTATATATACTAAAAGTTAATATTACAGTTTATGGAAGTTCAATATCTCATTGCCTAATATACGTGATTCCTCTCTAATTTACTTTCTTAACACTCCTCCTCAAGTTGGAGCATATATATCATATAAACTCAACTTAGAATAAAGAAATCTCAACCGATTAGCATTTAGCGACTACGTAAACATATTAGCAAGTTGGTCTCCAGTCTTCATAAATGGTGTACATATATCACCACTCACTATCTTGCTTCGAATAAATTGACAATCAACTTCAATATGTTTGATTCTCTCATGAAAGGCTGGATTGAATGCAATATGTAGAGCAGTCTGATTATCATAGAACATTAAAATAGGTGTAGAAGGTGAGAGAACGATTTCTTGAAGAAAGTGTTGCAACATGTCAATTCACTAGTGTATATGCCATCGCCCTATACTCTATTTTTGCAATTAACCTTGTTGCTATAGTTTATTTCTTATTTTTCAAAGAAACAAGATTACCACCAAGAAAATACAAAAACCAGTAGTAGATCGCCTATCTGAAGGGGACCTATCTAGTCTGCATCTGTAAAAACTTCTACTCTGAAATGTCCATTTGGTTTGTACAATAATTTCGAGACCTAGAGCCTTTTCAAATATTGAATAATATTCATTACAGCTTCCAAATAAAGAATTCGAGGAGCATCTAAGAATTGATTGATGACACTAACTACATAGGAAATATCTGGTCGTGTGATGGTAAGATAATTTAATTTTTGAACCAAATGACGATATTTACTTTGTTCTCCAAACGATTCTCCTTCATCCTTTAAAAGCTCCATATTAGGATCTATAGGAGTATCAACTGGTCTAACTGGTCAAATACATTCTTTGAGACAAGTTGATACCTACTTGAGATCTAGCTACTTCAATACCCAAGAAATATCAAATCTTATCTAGATCTTTAGTCTAAAAAATGTTGTAGAAACTATTTTAACTGAGTAATCCCTTCTACATTATCACCAATGATTACAATATCATCTACATAAACTACAAGAATAACATAACCTGCACTGGTTTGTAGATAAAATACCGAATGATCTGTTTGTCACCTCTGAAGGCTAAATTGTAGAACAAATTCTAGAAAACTCTCCAAACCATGCCCTCGGTGATTATTTTAACCCATACAAAGCCTTTTTCAACTTACAAAGAAAGTTTTGGTACACCCCCTGAGCAACAATCCCAGGTGGTTGCTCCATATAAACCTCTTTGCGCAAGTTATATGAAGAATTGCATTCTCAATATCCAACTGAAATCATGGCCAACCCAGTTTAGCATCGATAGAAATCAAAACATGAATAGAAGAGATCTTAGCAAATGGAGAGAATGTCTCATCATCATCAATATCATAGGTATATGTGTAACCTTTAGCAGCCAATCGGGCTTTCAATCGATCAATCGTCCCATCGAGATTGAATTTCGACCCATCTGTTACTAACAGGATGTATACTAGGTAGTGAAGGAACGAGTTCCCAAGTCTTATTCTCTTGCAAGGTTGCCATTTTCAATTCTATAGCCTTTTACCACTCTGGATGAGATAAAGCTTCTGTCACTGTTAGGTACAAAAATACTAGAAAGTTGGAATGTAAAACAGAAAAACGAATGAGATAACGAATCGAAAGTAACACGATGGCTTATAGGATGATTAGTTATACATGTTTACCTTTATAGAGAGTAATGGGTAATGACTTAAGATGAGGAGAGGTGATGGATGCAGGAGCTATAGACGGTAAGGTGACAGATGGGACAGCAGGTGTTGGTGGCTTAGATCGTCTAGTATAAACCTGTAAAGGAGGTGGTTCTACATGATATGCAGATGAGATTGTTTCTGGAGAATGACCAACTAGTAGATATGGAATGGGTAAACCAAGGGGATCCCGAGTATGTTCGAGAGACGTAATATGACTATAAAAATAAGGTGTGAACTCATCGGAAGTGACATTTGCATTGACAAAGTAGCGGCACAAAGAAGGATTGAAGTAACGATACCCTTTTTGTGTTTGGGAGTATTCAAGGAAAATGCATTTTAGAGAATGAGAGTCAAGTTTGTCATGAGCAGGACCAAAGTGATGAAGATAACAGACAGTCAAAAACTTTGAGAGATAATGAGTACGGCGGAGAGGAAGAGAAAACGATAAAGAAAGGGGATGTATCGTCTAGCATAGAAGATGGCATGCAATTAATGAGATAGCATGCAGTGAGAACAACATCACTCCAAAAACGTTTAGAGACATTCATATAACGAAGGAGAGCAAGAGTAACTTCTAACAAGTGATGATTTTTGCGTACTGCAACTCTATTTTGTTATAGAGTGTATGCAGAAGGTGTTTGATGAATAATGCCTTTTGGAAAAGAGAGTGTAAAAGAAGCAGTCATATATTCTTTGGCATTATAAGACCGCGCAATAAAGATTTTCTAGTTAAACTAAGTTTTGATCATAATACGAAAGGTTTGAGTAACTCAAAACAACTTTTCATTAAGAATAACCAAGTCATATGAAAATAATCATTTTGTGACAAAATTTTGAAATTTATTAGATAAAATATTGATTGGTTCCCATAAATCAGAATAAACTAGTTTAAATAGATGAGAAGCATGACTAACGGTTCTTAAAGGAAAAGATACACTGTAATGCTTACTAAGTTAACAAGCTTCATACTCAAGGGATGACAGATTGCGAAGACTAACGACTTGTCTCAACGTTGAAAGAGAAGGATGACCAAGACAACAATGTCATTGCGTGGGCGATGCAGGAGAATGGAGAGCTCAAGAATGAGAGACTGTAAAAGATCCAGGTAATACAAGCCACCAACATCATGCCTTATACCAATCATTCTCTTCGTCTTTAGATCTTGAAAAACACACGCAGAAGGATAAAATGTTACAACACATGGAAGAGTTGAGGTAATTTTACTAATAGACTACAAACTAAAGGGAAAGCTGTTAAGTCCCCTGATCCTCTGACTCTAGGTGTGGCTCCTTCTCTAGGAATTCTACAATAAATCAACTAAGAACCCGGAAGAATGGAACAGTTTATGGAAATTCAATTAATGGAAAATTAGAGATAAATTCCAAGGCTATTAGAGAAGCCTGGTCTCTCCCCCCTTTTCTAACAGAAGAATCAGGAAAAACCTACCTACAATCCTCTCTCGCCCACAATTTATTCATTCTCTTACAAAGCACAATGATTATTTTACCCTTATCAACTAACTGAAGCTGAGTTGGCATCCTTCACGTTGGATATGACTGCTCCCTTCTTCTTTCTTGCATAACTGAATTTTATGGGTGATCTATCAGTACCCACCGCCCCAAAATCCACCTTGTCCCCAAGGTGGAAGGTAGGGAATTGCACCCGCATTGTCTCAAAAGGTTCCCAAGTCGCCTCATAGTCTGGAAGATTCTTCCACTTGATCAGAATGTCCAGGCCTGCAGCGGTGTGGCCAGCATTAGGGCAAACTCCCAAAACTGTTTTTGGCTCCAAGATGAATTTCCCTACAATCGAGATTTGTGGAAGAACGGCAGAAATGGGCTTAACACTACCAATGGCCTTACGCAACTGGGATACATGGATAGCTGATGAGGCAGGGAGTTTAAGTTTGTATGCTACCCGTCCCACTTTCGATTCAATCTCAAAGGGGCCATAGTAACGGGGGGATAGCTTCTCATTTGGGCGCTTAGCCAAGGATTTCTGACGATAAGGCCGAAGTTTGAGGTAAACTAGTTCCCCAACTTCAAACTGGACATCACGACGGTGCTTGTCAGCCTGCTGTTTCATGTGCTGCTGTGCTTTAAAAGGTGCACCTTCAACTCAATCAACATTTCATCTCGTTCCAGTAGAAGTTGTTCCACAGAAGAACAAGGTGTTAGTCCTCTTTCAAGAGGCAGTAGGTGGGGAGGATCACGGCCATAAACTATTTGAAAGGGAGAATGTCTCATTACAGTATGGAAGGAAGTGTTATACTAGTACTCCGCCCAGTGCAAGAACTGACCCCAAACTCGAGGCCTATTTGAAGCAAAATACCTCAAGTATGTCTCCAGACATCTGTTCAAGACCTCCGTTTGCCCATCTGTTTGTGGATGGTCGGCTGTGCTTTGAGCCAGGGCAGTCCCCTGTGCTTTATATAATTCCGTCCAGAATGTACTCATAAAGATGCGATCTCTATCCGATACAATAGAGCGAGGAAAACCATGCAAGCGAACTATCTCTCGACTGAATTCCTCAGCAACTTGGGGGGCAGTGAAAGGGTGCTTTAACCCGATGAAATGGCCATACTTACTTAGACCATCCACTACAACCAGAATGGTGTCAATCCCCCTTGATCGTGGCAGTCCTTCAATGAAATCCATGGAGATATCCTCCCAAATGGAGCCGGGAATCGGTAGAGGAAGCAATAGCACCCCAGGAGATAAAGCCATATATTTATTATGTTGACATACCCCACAACTTGCCACATAGTCCTTTACTCTCTTCTTCATCCCTTGCCAATAGACCTCTCTCGCAATCCTCTTGTATGCCTTAAGAAATCTGGAGTGTCCTCCAATCTTAGAGTCATGAGATTCTTGTAACATAAGAATGACAAAATTTGAATGGTTGGGAAGAACAACCCTCCCCTTGTAACATAATATGCCGTTGATCAAGTCATATCCATCTTTAACACTGTTCCCATTCT